GTCATGTTAACACTAAGAACACTGGAGTAGCTATATTCATTTCAAACAGCTGATTTTAGAGCATAAAAAATTATCAAGGATAAAAAAGGGCATTATATAATGATAAAAGGGTTAATTCTCCAGGAAGACATAAAATCCTTTTACATATGTATCTAGCAACAGTATCAAAAATATGTGAGTCAAAGATTAACAGGAGAAATAGATGAGTCTACTATATAGTTGAAAATTTCAACATTCTTGTATCAGAAAATCAGTAAGAACATAGATGAACTCAACACCATCAATCAATTGACTATAATGAACATCTATAGACTGTTTCATTCAACAACCACAGAATACACATTCTCCTAAAGTTTACATGAACACTCACCAAGATAGATCACATTCTGGTTTATAAAACACACCTTAACAAATTTGAAAGAACAGAAATCATACAATGTCTGTTGTCAGGCCACAGTGAAATTGAAGTAGACATTCAAAAACAGAAAGATAAGATTAAAAATGTCAAAATATATGCAGATTAAAGAACAATTTTAAATAATACAGGGGTCAAAAAACAATATCAACAGAAATTTTAAAATATTTTGAACTAAATGAAAATATAATTTATTAAAATTTGTGAAATATAGCAAAAACAGTGCTTAAAGAGAAATTTGTAGCATTAAATGCATATATGAGAAGGGAAGAAGAAACTAAAACTAATCTAAGCTTCCGCTTTAGGAAATAAGAAATAAGAGAATAAATTAAATCCAAAGTAAGTAGAAAAAAGGAAATAATAAAAATAAAGCAGAAATTAATAAAATTTAAAACAAGAAATCAATAGAGATCAATGAAACTAAAAGCGGTTTTTTTGAAAAGATCAATCAAATTGACATGTCTCTAGCCAGGTGAACTAAAGAAATAGGAGTGGCAACACAAATTAATAATATCAGAAATGAAAGAAAAGACATCACTACAAATGTCATGTTCACTAAGAGGATAATAAAGGAATACTCTGTGCTCAAATATTTGATAACCTATGTGAAATGGACTAATTTCTTGAAAGACACAATCTGACAAAACTCACACAAGAAGAAATAAATAGTATGAATAGGTAGGCCTATAGCTATTAAAGAAATTTAATAATTAATTAATAACTTTACAAAACAGAAAGTACCAGGCCCCTATAAATCTACCGGTGAATTCTATTAGAGATTTAAGAATGAAATTATACCCATTATCTGCCATGTCTTCCAGAAGATAGAAGAAGGAATAATTTCTAATTCATTCTATGATACCAGCATTACCCTAATACAAAACCAGACAAAGAAGGACATTACAGAAAAAAGAAAATTACAGACCAATATATCTCATAAACATAGATGCAAGAATCCTCTACAAAATATTAACAAATTCAATAATGTATATAAAGATTTATAAACCATGACCAAGTGGCACTTATACCAGCTATGCAAGGCTAATTCAACATTTGAAAATCAATTAATGTACTTTGTCACAATAGGTTAAAGAAGAAAAGTCACATGACTATATTAATCAATGCAGAAGAAACATTTGGCAAAACTCAACACCCAATCATAATAAAAACTTTCAGCAAACTAAGAATAGAGGATAACTTCCTCAACTTTATAAATAATATCTACAAAAAAATTAAAGCTAATATCCTACATAATATGAGAAACTAGAAGCTTTCTCACTAAGACAAGGAAGAAAGCAACAATGGCCCTTTACACCATTCCCTTTTAGCATGTACTAGAGATTATAGATAATGCAATAGGGCAAGGAAAGGAATTAAAAGGCATGCACATTGGGAAGGATAAAATAAAATTATCTTTGTTCACAGATGAAATTGTTATCTGTGCAGAAAATCTCAATCAATGAACAACAACACAACTTAGGAAATAATAAAAAATTGTAGCAAAGTTTCAGAAACCAAAGCAAAACAAAGTCAATCACTTAGCTACACACCAGCAATGAACAAGGGGAATTTGAAATTGAAAACATAATGCTCTTTACATTAGCACCCCAAAAAGGAACTATATAAATATAAATTTAACCAAATATGAGTCCAAGATCTACATGAGGAAAACTACAAAACTAAAGAAAAAAATTAAAGAAAGGCTAACTAACTAGAGAGCTATTCCACATTCATGGATAGAAAGACTCAATATTGTCAAGATGTCAGTTCTTCTCAACTTGATCCATAGACTCTAAACAATCCTAATAAAAATCCCAGCAAGTTATTTGGTGGATATTGACAAACTGATTCTAAAGTTTATGTGAAAAAACCCAGAATAGCCAACAAAATTTTGAAGGAGGAGAACAAATCAAAGGATTAACACTATCTGACCTCAAATTTTACAATAAAACCACAGTGATGAAGACAGTATAGTATTGACTAAACAAACAAATAAGTAAATGGAACAGAATAGAAATACACCTACATAGAGTCAAATGATCTTTGAAAAAGGAGCAAAGGCAATATAATGGACAAAAGACATTCTTTTCAATAAATTATTCATAATTGCCAAAACTTGGAATCAACCAAAATGTCTTTTAGTGGGTAAATGGATGAATAAACTGTGCCACATGCAAATAATGCACTATTATTCAGCACTGAAAAGAAATGAGCTATCAAGTGATGAAAAAAATGATGGAAACTTAAATGCATATTATTAAGTGAAAGAATCAATAATCAATCTCAAAAGAATGCTACATACTGTATGATTCTAACTATATGACATTCTGGAAAAGGCAAGGTTATGGAGACAGTCAAAAGATCAGTGTCGCCAGGAGTTCAGGGAAAGGGTTATAAATAGAGCATAGAGGAATTTGAGGTCAATGAAACTATTTTGCATACAATAATGATGAATGTATGCCATTTTTATTTATGAAAATTCATAGAAGGTACACTACCAAGATTGATCCCTAATGTAAAAACATTATTATGAATGGTGTTAGTGGTGCCAAGGTTTGAAAATCCCATTGGAATAGCAAAGGGAGCAGAAAACATATCTGAAGTCTTTTGTTATCAAAGGGAAATAGTACATTTTATATCTGTGTTATGTTGAAACTATTTTCATATAATTGATGACTTTTATTCAAGAAACATCAAATTTTCTGACAAAATTTTTGTCAGACTGAAGCCATCATCAAGATTAAGATTTGTATTAAATATGACCCTTTAAAATGTAACACTTTTCCTATCTGTTTCTTATCACAACTTTTAAAAACTAATTGATATTAGATTTTTGCTTAATTTTAATACTATGTATGATTTAATACCTCTGTAAGTTTCATATGTGGACTCTTATTTCCAAGGCTCCTCTCAACGTTACTATACTACAAAACAAACCTTCCTAAAGCATTATTCAGATAATGTCAAAAATCTTTACTGATTCGTTGTTGTTTTGTTTAACTACTTCTTGGTTTTATTTATAGTCAAGGTTTTAATTTTAATACTATGATTTAATACCTCTGCAATAGTTTTGTAAGTGGACTCTATTTCCAAGGCTCTTCTCAACTTTACTATACCACAAAACAAACTTTCCTAAAAACATTATTCAGATACTTCAAAAATCTTTACTGATTTGTTGTTTTGTTTAACTACTTCTTGGTTGTGTTTATAGTTAAGATTGTAGAGGGAAAATGTGTAATAGGATGTCCAGTGAAGCTTTTCCTGTTTACCTGGAGTTAGTGACTAGGGCCCATCCCAGAAGTAACAACAAAATAGCTACATATTTCCATATTCTAAAGACATCTGCTAAAAAGTCACCAAACGTTGGAGTGAGTCAACACTCTCCATATATTTGCTACAACTACCTAAAGGACTAGAACCTCAATGTTAAGTAGATAATTTTCTACCTCTCCTCATTCCCTGTCTCCAGTTCCCAAGAGCTGACCCACAGGAGAGAGAGGGAAGAGCAACGAAGGAGCAAACGAAGATTTCTTTCCCACTTCTATTGAGTCTTTCCAGCCACTAATCTAGCCAGTGATAAGGATCATGAAAACTTCAAATAGGAAATTAGTTTTGAATTGACCTGGATGTTTAGCAATCAAAATTAACCACAGGGTTTTTTAAATTTGTTTAAAAGATTATTAAGGTATTGTTTTCAGTTACCCACACCAGAAACCTAAAAAGAAAAGGCTCTCCCTTACTCTTTTGCCTCCTCTCTCTATAAAGGGTCACTAAATTCCTAGGTAATTCTATCATCTAATTAATTCTTCTCCTCATTGCCTCCTTTTTTCCATGATGCCATTGATGTAATTTAGGTTCCTGTTATCTCTTACTTGATCTATACTTACTCATCTCCATTCCTCTAGGATCAAAACGCTCTCATTCATCATCCACATTGCCAGACAATCGTTTTAGCATGTAACTCTCTTTATTTCACTTCTGCACGATTCAAAGTTCTTTGATGACTCTCTATAACCTTTAAAACAAAAATCCAAAGTTGTTCATCTAGAATATGTCTACCTAGTGATAGGATCTCAACCTATATAGCACCTCCTGCTCACACTTTACACTTCAACAATATCGTACTTGAATTGTAGTTTTTCCAAGTTGTATTCACTCAAGCCCATGGTCTTCTGTGCAATTTTCTGCACTTAGAATGCTCTCTCTTAACATGAGGTAAGCTTTATCACTTAACTCTCATCTCAAGTAGCTTCTCTTCTCTAAATCTTTTCCTGACTTCAAGCTGCCCTGGGTTTTCTTTTTACAGGTTCCTGTACTATTTCAGATATACTGTCATTAAAAGCAATCATCATAGCATATGATAACTACTAACACATTTGACTCACCACTAGGCTGTAAATTCTTTGAAGAGCAACAACTTTTTGCTTTCATGCTCTCAGTGTCTAGTGTGGTACCTGATGTGTAGTAGCTGCTGGATGCATGTTTGTTGAAAGTATACATGAATGGAAACTAAAGTGTTAAACTTATTTTCATATTACTTGAAAAGTGCTATATATTAGGATGTTTTTTGATTATTCTTACACAGGTGAAAATGAACAACTAAAAATAAGTGCTGATCTTATAAAAGAGAAGTTAAAGTCTCATGAACAGGTGAGTTTATGTATCATTCTATTCAGTCAAGTCTCTGTAGAGCACTTGTCTTTTCAAATTAGAAAAAAACAGAGGTTCTTAAATTAATAAACACAGCCAAAGGGGTGTGTGTGTTTGTGTGTGTGTGTGTCTGTGTGTGTGTGTGTGTAGATACATATGCTGAAATCTTTAATAAATGACAATTTGTTTTAAAAGTAATACAAGTTTTAGGAGTTTTTTTTACAAAACATAATGTACTAACATATAACTTGCATTATTTTTTCTTTATACTAAAAAGATGCAATAATTTGGCTACATATTTTTCAATTATGTTAATAGAGTTTTTACTCTAGTAAACTCTATTTGTTACTACTTGTGAACTTTTTTACTATAATGTAAAGGAATCTATACTCTTTATGATTTGGATAATCATTACATCTTTCAAATACAGAAGGCATTTCATGTGGATCACAGATTATTTCCCAAGAGCAACCATACCCTCTACTACTTTTCCTTATCTCCTATAGAAACAGTATAGTAATAGCAGTTGTAGAACACATAAACGATGCCTACAAAACATAAAAGATGCTAAATAAACGTCGGTTCCCTCTGCTCTTTGAGAGGTTCATTATGCTAAATTTCTCATCTCTCAGGAGCTAACATGTCAAATTCTAGCAAACCGAAGAACCTCAAGACTCAAGTTGAATCTATAGCAGCCTTCACTTGAAGAATCTTCTCTAAATCCAGTAGGTTTCTCATTTGGGGAGCCTCTGAAGAAACCTCCTCAGAACTTCTAGTTAATACTCTACAGTAATAAGTAGCATTCTGGCTATGCTCTTAGAAAATTTAGCTTTTCATCACCTTTTTTTAAAATTGTACTTTAAGTACTGGGGTACATGGGCAGAACATGCAGGTTTGTTACATAGGTATACACATGTCATAGTGGTTTGCTGCATCCATCACCCCATCATCTACAATAGTTATTTCTCCTAATGTTATCCCTCTCCTAGTCCCCCAACTCCCAACAGTCCCCAGTATGTGATGCTCCCCTCTCTGTGTCCATGTGTTCTCATTGTTCAAATCCAATTATGAGTGAGAATATGCCATGTTTGGTTTTCTGTTCTTGTGTTAGTTTGCTGAGAATGATGGTTTCCAGCTTCATCCATGTTCCTACAAAGGACGTGAATTCATCCTTTTTATGGCTGTATAGTATTCCATGGTGTATATATGCCAAGATTTTGTTTATCCAGTCTATCATTGGTGGGCATTTTGGTTGGTTCCAAATCTTTGCTATTGTGAACAGTGCTGCAATAAATATACATATGCATATATCTTTATAATAGAATGATTTATAATCTTTGGGCATGTAATGGGATTGCTGGGTCAAATGGTATTTCTATTTTTAGATCCTTGAGGAATCACCACACTGCCTTCCACAATGATTGAACTAATTTACACTCCCACCAACAGTGTAAAAGTGTTCCTATTTCTCCACATCCTCTTCAGCATCTGTTGTCTCCAGATTTTTTAATGATCACCATTCTAACTGGCCTGAGATGGTATCTCAATGTTGTTTTAATTTTCATTGCTCTAATGACCAGTGATGATGAGCTTTTTTTTTGTTTTGTTGGCTGCATAAATGTCTCCTTTTGAGAAGTATCTCTTCATATTCTTCACCCACTTTTTGATGGGGTTGTTTGTTTTTTTCGTGTAAATTTGTTTAAGTTCTTTGTAGATTCTGGATATTAGCTCTTTGTCAAAAGGGTAGACTGCAAAAATTTTCTCCCATTCTATAGTTTGCCTGTTGACTCTAATGATACGTTTCTTTTGCTATGCAGAAGCTCTTTAGTTTAATTAGATCTCATTTGTCTATTTTGGCTTTTGTTGCCATTGCTTTTGGTGTTTTAGTCATGAAGTTTTTGCCCTTGCCTATGTCCTGAGGGTATTGCCTAGGTTTTCTTCTAGGGTTTTTATGGTTTTAGGTCTTATATTTAAATCTTTAGTCCATCTTGAGTTAATTTTTGTATAAGGTGTAAGGAAGAATCCAGTTTCAGCTTTCTGCATGTGGCTAGCCAGATTTCCCAACACCATTTATTAAATAGGGAATTCTTTTCCCGTTGCTTGTTTTTGTCAGGTTTGTCAAAGATCCAATGGTTGTAGGTGTGTGGCATTATTTCTGAGACCTCTGTTCTGTTTCATTGGTCTATATCTCTGTTTTGGTACCAGTACCATGCTGTTTTGGTTACTGTAGCCTTGTAGTATGGTTTGAAGTCAGGTATGTGATGCCTCCAGCCTTGATTTTATTTCTTAGAATTGTCTTGGCTACGCAGGCTCTTTCTTGGTTCCATATGAAATTTAAGGTGTTTTTTTCCAGTTCTGTGAAGAAAATCAATGGTAGCTTGATGGGGATAGCATTGAATCTATAGATTACTTTGGGCAGTATGGCCATTTTCACAATATTGATTTTTCCTAACCATAAGCATGGAATGTTTTTCCATCTGTTTGTATCCTCTCTTACTTCCTTGAGCAATGGTTTGTAGTTCTCCTTGAAAGATCCTTCACATTCCTCATTAGATGTATTCCTAGGTATTTAATTTTCTTTGTAGCAATTGTGAATGGGAGCTCAGTTATGATTTTACTCTCTGTCCATTATTGGTGTATAGGAATGCTTGTAATTTTTGCACATTAATTTTGCATCCTGAGACTTTGCTGAAGTTTTTTATTAGCTTAAGGAGATTTCAGGTTGAGATGATGGGGTCTTCTAAATATACAATCATGTCATCTACAAACAGAGACAATTTGGCTTCCTCTTTACCTGTTTGAATACCCTTTATTTCTGTCTCTTGCCTGAGTGCCCTCGCCAAAACTTCCAATGTTATGTTGAATAGGAGGTGAGAGAGGGCATTCTTGTCCTGTGCCAGTTTTCAAAGGGAATGCTTCCAGTTTTTACCCATTCAGTATGATGTTGGCTGTGGGTTTGTCATAAATAGCTCTTATTATTTTGAGATACATTCCATCAATACCTAGTTTATTGAGAGTTTTTAGCATGAAGGTTGTTGAATTTTATCGAAGATCTTCTCTGCATCTATTGAGAAAATCGTGGTTTTTGCCTTTGGTTCTGTTGATGTAAAGGATTACATTTTTTTATTTGTGTATGTTGACCTAGCCTTGCATCCCAGGGATGAAACCAACTTGATCGTGATTGATAAGCTTTTGGATATGCTGTTGGATTGGGTTTGCCAGTATTTTATTGAGGATTTTCACATCAATGTTCATCAGGGATACTGGCCTGAAATTTTCCTTTAGTTGTGTCTCTGCCAGGTTTTGGTATCAGGATTATATTGGTCTTATAAAATGAGTTAGGGAGGATTCCCTCTTTTTGTATTGTTTGGAAGTTTCGGAAGGAATGATACTAGCACCTCTTTGTACTTCTGGTAGAATTCAGCTGTGAACCTGTCTGGTCCTGGACTTTTTTTGGTTGGTAGGCTATTAATTGCTTCCTCAACTTCAGACCTTGTTATTGGTCTATTCAGGGATTCAGTTTCTTCCTGGTTTAGTCTTGGGAGGGTGTATGTGTCTGGGAATTTATCCATTTCTTCTACATTTTCTGTTTTATTTGTGTAGGAGTGTTCAGAGTATTTTCTGATGATGGTTGGTATTTCTATGGGATTGGTGGTGATATCACCTTTAGCATTTTTTATTGCATCTATTTGAGTCTTCTCTCTTTTCTTCTTTATTAGTCTGGCTAGTAGTTGTATCTATTTTGTTGATCTTTTTAAAAAAAAAACAGCTTTTTTTGCTTTCCATTTGCTTGGCAAATATTCCTCAATCCCTCTATTTTGAGCCTATGTGTGCAAAGACATAGGCTTGTGAGATGGGTCTCCTAAATACAGCACACCAATGGGTCTTGACTCCATATCCAATTTGCCAGTCTGTGTATTTTAATTGGGGCGTTTAGCCCATTTAAAGTTAAGGTTAATACTGTTATGTATGACTTTGATCATGCCATTATGATGCTAGCTGGTTATTTTGCCATTAGTTGGTGCAGTTTCTTCCTAGCATCAATGATCTTTACAATTTGGTATGTTTTTGCAGTGGCTGCTACTGGTTGTTCCTTTCCATCTTCAGTGCTTCCTACAGGACCTCTTGTAAGACAGGTCTGGTAGTGACAAAATCTCTCAGCATTTGCTTGTCTGAAAAGGATTTTATTTCTCCTTCATTTATGAAGCTTAGTTTCACTGGATATGAAATTCTGAGTTGAAAATTCTTTTATTTTAAGAATGTTGAATATTGGCCCCCACTCTCTTCTGGCTTGTAGGGTTTCTGCTGAGAGATTCACTGTTAGGCTGATGGGCTTCTCTTTGGGGATAACGCAACCTTTCTCTCTGACTTCCCTTAGCATTTTTTCTTCTTTTCAACCTTGGTGAATATGATGATTATGTGTCTTGGGTTGTTTCTTGAGGAGTATCTTTGCAGTATTCTCTGTGTTTCCTGAATTTGAATGTTGGCCTGCCTTGCTAGGTTGGGGAAGTTCTCCTGGATATTAAATTTTCTGGCTTGGTTTCATTCTCCCCTTCACTTTCAGGTACATTAGTCAATTTCACATAATCCCATATTTCTTGGTGGCTTTGTTCATTTCTTGTCACTCTTTTTTCTCTAATCTTGTCTTCTCACTTTATTTCCTTGAGTTGATCTTCAATCTCTGATATCCTTTCTTCCATTTGATTGATTTAACTATTTTTTTTTAATTACTTTTTATTGAAAACTGCACTGAACGCTAAATGTCCACCTTTACAATAAACAAATACAGTAACGGTAACTCACACTAAAACAAAACATACTTCTGATAGCCATTATTTTTCTGTTTGGGACAATTTTAAAGTTTGTTTTGTCACAAAAACAGGAATGTACCTATACAAAGGCTCAAAATAGGCCATCTTTTTAAACAAAAAGGCAATGATTCACAAAAGACTATGAATAGAACATGTAACTAGTTGATACAAATCTAATAGGATTTGTTAAAATCAGTCACATCTAATACATCTGAAGTGTTCTTGTATAAAATATCACGTGAAGAACAAAAGACTTTATCAATGTCTAAAAAAGTGGGTTTGTTCATAGACAATCTGACAAGTTACCATAAAAAGTGTTTCCTGAGACATAAGGAAATGCAACATTATTCTTCTTGAACCCTTTTAGTTCAAGACTTTCCACTCAATAAAATAGCAGAGGATCTGAAACTGAGAAAATATATTTGAGTACAAACAGCTTGTGAAACTTAATACTTTTTTTTTTTTTTTTTTGCATCATCAGAGGGTTTTACTTAACTTACAACCAACTTGCCCACTCAGAGTATACAGTTCAGCTGTGAGAGACGCTTCTCTGTACAGGAGCCTGTACTGTCTTCAATCCTATGCGTGCAGGTGTCTACCACAGGCAAACAGTTTTCTCCCCATTTGGTAGTAATGTGATCTTCCTATTAGTAAAAAGAGGTAACCAGCCCCTGTAGACTGAAGGGACTCAAGTCACAGGATGGGGATTTCCTCTTAATATTTTTTATTTGGATGTTTGAACTCTTGATGCAACATTCTCGAGCAGGGTGTTCAGGACCTGCTGTGCCCAAGGGACTGATAAAGGAAAAAGCTCTATTTATTCTTTGTGATTTGATGCACAGATGAAAAACTTAACACACAATAACAGAAGTTGGTCGTTAATAAATCACATCCTAGTCTTTCAGTGCTTCCGTAAGCAGACGACATCTTCAGTTTTTCTAGCTCTTGTAGTTTTAACACTGCAACATCAATGATGCATATGTCCAGAATCAGTTACAAAGACCGTCAGATTCTTTTTCTCTTAGTTCATCTATTTTTTACTGTCTCTTGGTCCCGAGTGTATCTGAACGATTACCTTCCAGCATTCTCTGCTATTGCTCGTTGGGGTGCTCTCGATTGTCCCCGTGTTTTGTGGGCTGGTTGGGAGAGGGTGCTTGGGAAGGATGTGCCACTGTCGGGAGGTTGTGAGTCACTGGGATGCCCCCAGGGATGATCCCTTCCATGGCTGCAGGAAGTCCGCCTGGAGCCACACCCACGATGCCTGGCGGGTATCTGTATGTGGCACCATTGAGCTCAGGATGAATTGCTTGCTGGTCTATTACTGACCAAGGCGCTGATGTGACGAAAAATTCCTTGTTCACACAGTTTCTTAAGTTTTCTGGGATGCGACCTGTGATGGCTCGGCGGATCTCAGTGGCAGCGGCCTCCCTCATTTCCAGCGATGCCTGCTCGCTGTACCAGGCAGTGTGAGGAGTGCAGATGAGATTCGGTGCATCTTTCAATGGACCCTGAGCAAAGCTGAAGGGCTCTGACTCATGCACGTCGAGGGCTGCCCCTCGTATCCTGCCCTCCTTGAGGGCCTGTGCTAAGGCTTTCTCGTCCACCAGGCCGCCACGGGCTGCGTTCACAAGGAATGCTCCCTGCCTCATCTGCTTTATGGTAAAGTCGTTGATGAGGTGGTGGTTATGTTCGTTGAGATTGCAGTGCAGGGAGACGCAGTCGCTCTGATACAGCAAATCCTGCAGCGTGTAGACCCTCTGCACGCCCAGGGACCGCTCGATCCCATCCTGCAAGTAGGGGTCATAAAATATGACGCTGAATCCAAAGGCCTTGGCTCGAACTGCAACCGCCTGCCCCGTGCGACCGAAGCCGATGAGGCCCAGTGTCTCCCCACGGATACGGGCCGCTCCCGAGGCCACCTCTCGGATCTGCTCCACGCTCTGAACCCGCGTGCCTTCCCGCAGGGCCTGGTACAGCCACGTGTTCCTCCGGTACAGATTGAGGATGTGGCAGATGGTGGAGTCAGCTGTCTCTTCCACGGCTGCGGATGGGATGTTGCACACAGCAATTCCCAGCTCGCCGGCAGCCTTGATGTCCACATTGTCGTAGCCGCTGCCTATCCGCACGATCACTCTCAGAGCCTTGAACTTTTCTAGGTCCTCCCTGGTGAGGGTGATGGTGTGGTACATCATGGCGCCCACGGCTTCATTTAAAACCTTCTCGTGGATCTCCTGAGTGGACTGCGCGTCACAGAAGGCCACGGTGGCCAGGTGCTTCAGGATGGGCATCTCCACAGTGCAGTCGCGGCCGTCCAGCAGCGCCACCAGGGGGCGGGGGTGCAGGGGGCCGTTCATGATCTGGGGGCGGATACCTTCACAAATTCTGTCCAATCGCTGTCTCTTGACTTTGTGCTTATCCACAAGGGCCATTCTTTATGGAACTTTGCAACTCTCAGATCAAAAGGCAAAGCAGCCCTCTAAGAACTTAGGGGAACTTGCAGGAGTCTGCGTGCATGACGCCGCTATGAACCCAATATAGATCTGTCCACAAACTCTATAGTCCACACGATGGGCTGTCCGTCTTTTGAAGGGAATACAGCTTCATTGGTTCAAAACCATTTAAGGTGATGAGACCCCCCGAGAAGATGCTAATTCCAACTTGGATCGGGGGAGGGAACGTCCTGGATGCCGAGCGCCTCCCGGCTATTTGCTCTTCTTTATTTGTTTTCTCCTCCGGGTAAGGAGGAGGAAAACGGAGAGAAAAGGAAAGGAAAGAAGCGGCGCTGGCCGCGGCTCCCGGTGCCCGCTGGCTGCGCAGGAGCGAGGCGGGAGGCGAGGTGAGGGTCGCCGCTCGCTCACTCCTCGCTCCTTTTTTGGGGGGGGGCAAAGGCGGGGTCTCTCTTTGCAAACCAATGACACAACCCCACATGGGCCGGCCTCGCCCCCTCCAGATACTCCTCACTACAAATCGGCTCTCTCGGGGGATTAGTGGCTCCGCGAAAGTGCACACGGGCGCGGCGGGCGGGAGGGCTAGGGGCCGGGCGCGGCGGGCACTCCCTGGCCTGGCCCCGCCCGGGAGGCCCTCTGGAGGTGCGGGGGCTTCGGTGGCAGGGGCCGGGGTCCTGTCACGGCGGCGCTGCGTCCGATGCTCCCCTCGCCCTTCATTCTCCTTCGCCCCTTCCTTGATTGATTTAACTATTTAAGGTTGTGTATGCTTCATGAAGTTCTCAAGCTGCATTTTTCAGCTCTATCAGTTCGTTTATGTTTTTCTCTTAACTGGTTATTCCAGTTAGCATTTCATCTAACCATTTTTCAAGTTTCTTAGCTTCTTTGCAATGGGTTAAAACATGCTCCTTTAGCTTAGAGTAGTGTGTTATTACCCACCTTCTGAAGCCTGCTTCAGTCAATTCGTCAAACTCATTCTCCATCCAGTTTTGTTCCCTTGCTAGCGAGGAACTGTGATCCCTTAAGGGAGAAGAGGTATTCTGGTTTTTGGAGTTTTCAGCCTTTTTGCGCTGGTTTCATCCCATCTTCGTGGATTTATCTTCCTTTCATTTTTGAGGTCAGGGATCTTTGGATGGGGTCTCTGAGTGGACGTCCTTTTTGTTGATGTGAAAACTATTTCTTTCTGTTTGTTCATTTTCCCTCTAACAGTCAGAAGGTATGCTGGAGTTTGCTGGAGGTCCACTCCAGATCCTGCTTGTCTGGGAATCACCAGTGAAGACTGCAGAACAGCAAAGATTGCTGTCTGTTCCTTCCTCTAGTAGCTTGTCCCAGAGGGGTACCTGCCAGATGCCAGCCAGAGGTCTCCTGTATGAGGTGTCTGTTGGCCCCTACTGGAAGGCGTCTCCCCATCAGGATACACAGATGTCAGGGAGCCACTTAAGGAGGCAGTCTGTCCCTTATCAGAACTTGAACACTGTGTTGGGAAATCCACTGCTTTTCAGAGCGGCCAGGCAGGGGTGTTTAGGTCTGCTGAAGCTGTACCCACTACCACCCCTTTTCCTAGGTGTTCTGTCCCAGGAAGGTGGGGGTTTATTTATAAGTCCCTGATGGGCTGCTGCCTTTTTTTAGAGATGATCTGCCCAGTGAGGGCATCTAGTGAAACAGTGCCTGCTGCTGCTGAGCTGCGTTGGACTCTGCCCAGTTCGGATTTCCTGGTAGCTTTGCTTACACTGTGGGGTTGAAACTGCCTACTCGAGCCTCAGCTATGGCAGATGCCCCTCGCCCCTACTGACCTTGAATGACCCAGGTTGAGCTCAGACTGCTGTGCTGGCTGTGAGAATTTCAAGCCATTGGATCTTAGCTTTCTGGTCTCCATAGGGGTGGGACCTGCAGAGCCAGACCACTTGGCTCCCTGGCTTCAGCCCCCTTTCCAGGGGAGTGAACAGTTCTGCCTCACTGGTATTCCAGGCACCACTGCGATATGAAAAAAAAATGCTGTGGCTAGCTTGGTTTCTGCCCAAATGGCCACCCAGTTCTGTGCTGGAAATCCAGGGCCCTGTTGATTGTGTAGGTACTGGAGGGAATCTCCTGGTCTGCAGGTTGCGAAGATCATGGGAAAAGCACACTATCTGGGCCGGAGTGCAGGAAACAGTTCCTAATGGATTCCCTGGGCTAAGAGAGGGAGTTTCCTGGCCCTTGCACTTCCCAGGTGAGCGATGCCCCACCCTGCTTCGGCTCACCCTCCTTGGGCTGCACCACTGTCCAACCAGTTCCAATGAGATGAACCAGGTACCTCAATTGAAAATGTGGAAATCACCCACCTTATGTGTCAATCTCACTGGGAGTTGCACACCTGAGCTGTTCCGATTCGGCCATCTTGCCAGGGGAATCATCATCAATTTTGAGATGGTTTTTAAGTATTTCTGGAATGAATCCACCCTTTCTCCCCCTTTCTTTTCCTTTTTTTCCTTTATTTTTCCCCAATACCCTTTCATATATTGACTCTAGATCTCAACAATAGGTGATAAAGTCAGGTTGTAATTAGGGTGGAGAAAAAATGGGAGAAATTCTTACCTATTTTTTTTTCTAAAACTTGAAGCACAAGGATATTCCTTTGTCTAGAATATTATAGACATGTTCAGAGGGGAAGAAATTAAAGAGAAAACACCACAACCCAAGAGTCTCAATTTCTTAGTTAGCAGCTGTCCAAAGCAAACCATGACAATGCAGATTCCCTAATTCAATACCTCTGAACACATCTAAAATTCATGGAGAACCACTCCAAAGGATCAAACTCAGGAGGTACCCAATAGCAATATTTGTGGTAGTAGTAGGCTTTTGCAACTTGTATAGAATTATTGTTTTATATATCAAGAGTGCAACTAGAGGTTATTCCTTGAAATTTAAAGTTCCCAGAAAGCATATGAAAAGAAGACAATCAATTGCAACTTATTGGGGATTGTTCGCCTTAGAAAAATGGAAAGATTACATTTTTTAGGAATGGCACAGGCTAAAATGGGAAAGAAGATCTAATGAGATACAGCTTGGGTCAACCCAGAGTTTAGCATAGTCTTCATGCCTGGAGGCTGGAGTGCAAATCTTGGGTCTCACCAAATTACTGGAAGCATTCTACTTTGCTGGTGGCATCTTCCTGTGGCAAAAATCAGTGGAGGATAGAAAGGTAGATAGGTTTGTCTCTTGTGGTTTCTAAGAGCAGCAACAGCTTAGTGCACACAGTTGTCAGGAGTAGTTTATAAAAGCTACTCTATAGTTGCCCATCTAGAAATCTAGACACATGGAAAATGGCATTTGTGGGATTCCCCACTGGATTCACCTGCCCAGTTTTAATCAGAGCCAAGAAGTTGGATAGGTTTGGCCATTACTACAAGTTTCCTAGCAGGATACTTATAAAAAACAGGAATCCAGACTAAATCTCTTGAACTGAGATAATATGGAGGAATGTTTGCTTATTTTTAATTGTAGGCATATAAGCTGGTATGTCTTGACCTGTTTTAAATTTTTTAACCTTCTCAATACCATGAAATATCTATTAAAAGCTATGAACCCTCACTGAGGAAAAAAATGCTAAAAAACACGCACACATACAAATACATGTATAATTTTACATAACATTTTGGCAGTTAATCAAAAGCCTAGTCACTGGGTCTAAGTTGATTTCTGACCTAAATAATTCTTATTGGTACTTCTTATATTTTCATTCAAGAAATATACATCAAGATATATATGTGTGTATATACATGTATTTACACATAAGGAGCTGGAAATACCATGGTGAGTTCCAGCTTTTAGGTATTAGAGGTAGAGGCTTTTCTTGACTTCTTGATTTTGTTAGTGCCTTTTTACTACTATCACACTTAACTTTTATTCTTCGTGCTTTCCTTTTCTCTTGCCTACATTTTAGGCCTGTGAGTAATTTCTTCATGTAGGACCGTACCCCTGGTAAAATTGTAAAATTTATCTTTATGATTGTAAAATAACTGTCTTCCATCACCACTCCTTTCCCTGTTCTCAAGCATAATGTAAATCACCCCTATCCTTCAACAACCTAACAAGCTAATCTCAGGCAGCTGTCAAGCACTTCGAAAATCCCAAATTCATCTTTCTCTCTATGCCTCCCCATAAAGCATATCTTTACCATGAGTAATGCTTAATGTTGCTCTGGGAATTAGGAATATTTATATAATTTTTGGAAACAGTTTAGCCTGCATTCAGAGGGACTCATCTGACATTAGAGTAAGCTGGCGAGCTATTGAACAGTGCTTTTTGTTGGCTCTAATATATAGTTTTGGCTTATATTGAACATATCTTAATTCTGTAGTGGCATTTATTCATAAAATTAAACTAAATATTTTGAGCATCCTTAATATTATAAACCCTGGTGATGAGTATCCAGAAAGCAAAGATTAAAAATGACATTGTTTCTATAATAGGTTTCTTTATCTTATGTCATTATATCAGAAATTGATCTTTCTTACGGAATTCATGAAACAGAGAGTAAGAGTGGTGGTTAGGAATGGCTGTGGTGGAGGCAACAATTGGGGAGATGTTGGTGAAAGATAAAAAATTGTAATTAGAAAGGAGGAATAGAATCAGGAGAGCTATTGTACTGTTTGGTGATTGTTATCAATAACAAGTATTATATACTTGAGAATTGCTAAGAGAGTAGTTTTTTAATGTTCTCACCACAAAATAAGTGATGTTCTCACCACAAAATAATGTTCTCACCACAAAATAATGTTCTCACCACAAAATAATGTGAGGTAATGGATATGTTAATTGGCTTGAGTTAGGCATTCCACAATGTATACATATATTAAAACATCATATTGTACATCATACATATATATAATTTTTAATTTTCAAGTTAAAAATTTAAATTTTAATTTTAAAATATTTTACTTTATGCATACAAAAAATAAAATGGGTCTATCTCAAAGCTGATTATTCAAACAATGAACAACATTTTTCCTTGTAGGTATGAGAACTTGATTATTAGAAAGATGAATTGTTCATTTACATTAAATGTATATTACCTTTTAAAAAATAATATAAATGGAGAATTTTAAAAGTAATGAGTTACATGCACATATTTAAATTTTAAAAATTAATATATATTTTAATCTCTAGGAATATAAGAATAATATTGCCAAACTTATAAGTGAAATGAAAATCAAAGAGGAGGAATATAAGACAGAAATAAGCAAACTTTATCAGGACATGCAGAAAAAAGGTAAGTTAAAAAAAACACTTTTGTGTTATAGATTAAAGGGATACATGTGCAGGTTTGCTACACTATACACTATGGGTATAGTGTATAATGCTGGTGTTTGGGCTTCTAGCAAACTCATCAATTATATAGTATACATTAATGACAATTGTTTTTCATCACTCACCCTTCCTGTCCATTCTTTTGGAGTTCCCAGCGTCTATGGTTTCTATCTTTACGTCCGTGAGTACCCATTGTTTAGCTCCCACTTATTAAGTGAGTACATGCAGTATTTGATTTTCTGTTTCTGAGTTATTTTACTTAGAATGGTGTCCACCAGCTCCAACCATGTTGACAAAGAACTCAATTTTATTTTTTAAGGCTGCATAGTATTCCATGGTGTATATATATCACATTTTCTTCATCCAGTCCACCATTGATGTGCACTTAGGTTAATTCTATGACTTTGCTATTGTGAATAGAACTGTGATAAACATGCAAGTATAAGTGTCTTTTTGATAAAACAATTTATTTTCCTTTGAGTAGATACCCAGTAATAGGATTACTGAATTGAATAGTAATTGTATTTTTAGCTATTTGAGAAATCTTTCTAATGTTTTCCATAGAGGCGAAACTAATTTACATTTCCACTAACAGTGCATTATTGTTCCCTTTTCTCCACATCCCTGACAACATCTGTTTATTTTTGACTCTTTAGTAATAGCCATTTGACTGGTTGAGAAGGTATCTCATTGTAGTTTTGACTTGCATTTATCTGGTAATTAACAATATTGAGCATTTTTTCATATGCTTGTCAACCATGTGTATATCTTCTTTTGAGAAGTGTCTGTTCATTTCCTTTGCCCACTTTGTAGTGGGGTTATTCATTTTTGTCTTGTTGATTTGTTTAACTTTTTTGTAGATTCTGCGTATTAGTCCTTTGATGCATAGATGGCTCAAAAATATTTTCTCCCATTCTGTAGGTTGTCTATTTATGCTGTTGATTGATTCTTTTGCTGTGCAGAAACTCTTTAAAACTGATTTGTCTATTTTTGGTTTTGATGCATTTGTTTTTCAGGACTCAGTCATAAATTTTTTGCCTAGGCAAATTTCCAGAAGAGTTTTTCCTATGTTTGCTTTTAGGATTTTTATTATTTAAGGTCTTACATTTAAGTCTTTAATTAATCTTGAGTTAATTTCGGTGTATGGTAAGGGATAGAGGTCCAATTTAATTCTTTTGCACATGGCTAGCCAATTTTCCCAGCATTGTTTGTTATAATAAATAGGAAATCTTTTCCTCATTGTTTATTTTTGTAGAATTTGTTAAACATTAGTTTGTTGTGGGTGTGTACCTTTATTTCTGAGTTCTTTATTCTTTTTTTACAAATCTATGTTTCCATTTTTGTACTAGTACCATGCTGTTTTGGTACTCATAAATACCAGTATCTGTAGAATCGTTGGAAGTCAGGTAATGTGATGCCTCCAACTTTGTTCTTTTTGCTTAGAATTGCTTTTGCTATTCAGGCTGTTTTAGTTCCACATAAATTTTAAAATTGCTTTTTCTAATTCTGTGAAAACTTACATTGGTAATTTGATAGGAACTGAATGTGTGGATCACTTTGGGCAATATAGTCATTTTGATGATATTGATTCTTCTTATCCATGAGCATGAAATGCTTTTTCATTTGTTCATGTCATCTATGATTTCTGTTATCAAACTGTTTTGTTCTCCTTGTAGAAGTTTTTCACCTTCTTTGTTAAACCTATTTCCAGGTAATTCTGTGTGTGTGTGGTAATTGTTAATGGGACTGAGTTCTTGATTTGGTTCTCAGCTTGAGTGTTTTTGGTTTATAAGAATGCCACTGATTTTGATGCATTCATTTTGTATCCCGAAACTTTACTGAAGACACTTGTCAGGCCTAGGAGGAATCTTTAGGGTTTTCTAGGTATAGAATCTTTTAGATGAAACTTTAGGGTTTTCTAGTTGTAGAATCATATTATCAGCAAACAGATATAATTGGACTTCTCCTTTTCCAATTTGAATGACTACTATTAATTTCTCTTGCCTGATTGCTGTAGCTAAAGACTTTCAGTACTATGTTGAATAGGGGTGGTGATAGTGGATATCCTTGTTTTGTTCCAGTTCTTAAGGGAAATGCTTTCAACTTTTCCCCATTCAGTATGATGTTGGCTGTAGGTTTGTCATGTATGGCTCTTATTATTTTGAGGTATGTTCCTTCAGTGCCTATTTTTTAGGGTTTTTATTATTAAGGATGTTGGATTTTACTGAATGCTTTTCTGCATCTACTGAAATGATGATATGGTTTTTGTTTTTAATTCTGTTTATGTAGTGAATCACATTTATTGACCTGCATTTGTTGAACCATCCTTGCGTCCCTGAAATAAGGCCATTTGATCCTGACGAGTTATCTTTTTGATATGTTACTGGATTCTGTTTGCTTGTTTTTTGTTGAGGATTTTTGAATCTATGTTTATCATAGATATTGTCCTGTTGTTTTATTTTTTGTTGTGTCCTTGACAGATTTTAGTGTCAACATGATACTGGCTTCAGAACATGGTTAGAGAGGCCTCCTTCCTCCTCAATTTTTTGGAATGGTTTCAGTAATATTGGTAGCAACTCTTCTTTGTACATCTGGCAGAATTTGGCTGGCCTATAAATCCTCTAGTCCTGGGATTTTTTTATTGGGGGGTTGGTAAACTTTTTAATTACTCATTCAATTTTATAACACATTAATGGTCTGTTCAGAATTTTGATTTCTTCCTGGTTCAGTCCCTGGGGGTTGTATGTTTCCAGGAATTTTTCCATTTGCTCTAGATTTTCTAGTTTGCATACATAGAGGTGTTCATAGTAGTCTCTGAGGATCTTTTGTATTTCTGTGCTAATAGTTGTAATGTCAACTTTACCATTTCTGATTGTGCTTATCTGGACACTTCTCTCTGTTTTTCTTGATTAATCTAGCAAGTGGTCTATCACTTTTATTTGTCCTTTCAAAAAACCCACCTTTTGTCTCACTGATCCTTTGTATGGTTTTGGGGGGTTTTTTAAATCTCATTCTCCTTTAGTTCTTCTCTGATCTTTGTTATTATTTTTCTTCTGCTAGCTTTGAGTTTGGTTTGTTCTTGTCTTTCTAGTTCATTTAGGTAAAACCTTAGGGGGTTAATTTGACATCTATATTCCTAATGTAGGCATTTAGTACTATAAACTTTCCCCCTAATACTACTTTTTCTATATCCTAGAGGTTTTGGTATGTTGTGACTGTATTTTCTTTTGTTTCAAAAGAAGTTTTTATTTCTGTGTTTTTGTTATTGTTTACCCAAAAGTCAACCAGGAGCAAGTTGTTTGGTTTCCATGTATTTGTGTGGTTTTGCAAGTTCCTTTTGGTATGGATTTCTAATTTTATTCCATTGTGGTCCAAATGTGAGTTTGATATAATTTTATTTTTAAACAAATTATTAAAACTTGATTCATGATCAAGCATATGATCAATTTTAGAGAATGTTCTATGAACAGATGAAAAAAATGTATATTCTGCTGTTGTTGAGTGGAATGTCTGTAGATGTCTATTAGTTTCATTTGGTCAAGAGTCCAATTTAAGTCCAGAGTTTCTTTATTATTTTTCAGCCTCCATGATCCATCTAGTCCTGTCAGTGGGATGTTGGCCACCCAACTACTATAGTATAGCTCTCTATCTCTTTTCTTAGGTCTAGTAATATTTCTTTTCTAAATCTGGGTGCTGCAGTGTTGGGCACAGTTAAACCTGATTTTTAAATCTTCTTGTTGAATTGAAGCCTTTATCATTATATAATAGTAATTATATAGTTAAATCTTGTTGAATTGAAGTGTTCATTATTACATAATACCCTTCTTTGTCTTTCTTTACAACGTTGGTTTAAAGTCGGTTTTAACTGATACAAGAATATCAACCCCCTATTCTTTTTCATTTTCTATTTGCATGGTAGATCTTTCACCATCCTTTTACTTTGACCCTACTACACATAGGATGGGTCTCTCAAAGTCAGTAGATGGTTTCGTCTTGTTTTATTAATCCAATTTGCCAATCTGTGTATTTCAAGTGGAACATTTAGACTGTTTATGTTTAGGGTTAATATTTATATGTGAGGTTTTGTTCCCATTAGAGTGTTGTTAATGAGTTGCTTTCTGTCTTAGTTATGTAATTGTTTTATAGGATATGTGAACTTTGTACTTACATGTGCTTTTATGGTAGCAAGTATTATTCTTTTTTTTTCCATATTTAAAACTCCTTTGAGCATTTATTGTAGGTCTGGTCTGGTGATGATGAATTCCTCTAGCATTTACTTATTTGGAAAAGACTTTATTTCTCCTTCCTTGTTTAGCAGAATATAAAATTCTTGGATGGAATTTTTTCTTTAAGAAGGCTAAAAAGAGGACCTCAGTCTCTTCTGGCTGGTAAGGTTTCTGTAAGAAGTCTGCTGTTAGTCTGATGGGATTTCATTTATAGGTAATTTGGCTATTTTCTCTAGCTGCCTTTGAGGGTTTTTTGTTTGTTTGTTTTATATATTGAACTTAAATAGTCTAATGATTATATGCCTTAGTATCTTGCAAATGTCCTCTGAACTTCTTATATCTGGATGTTGATTTCTCTAGAAAGATTAGGAAAACTTTCCTAAATTATTCCCTCAAACGTTTTCCAAGTTGCTTATTTTTCCTTCTCTCAGGAATGCCAAGAAGTCACAGGTTTTGTTGCTTTACATAATCACATATTTCTCAAAGGCCTTGTTTTTTTTAATTCTTTTTCCTTATTTTTGTCTCAATGAGTTAATTTGAAAGACTGATCTCCAAACTTTTAAATTATTTCTTCTGCTTAGTCTAGTCTATTGTTAAAACTCTCAATTATATTTTAAAATTTCTTTAGTGAATTTTTAAATTCCAGATGATTTTGTTTTGCTTTACTTTTTAAAATATAGCTACCTCATCTTTCACATCCTGAATCATTTTCCTGGTTTCTCTGTGCTGGTTTTCA